TTTGCATATATTTCCCAGTCAAAAGCATTGCACAAAAAATCTCAGAAGTTGCAAAATAAATAACCCCTCAGGATGTGGTGGAGTAGAACAGAGCAAGCAGAGGTCCAGACAAACAGTACTTACATCTGCCTGACTCCCATGGAGCCCTATTCTCCTCATCCCATTCAGCTATCTTAGGGTGCCATTCAACACGTCAAAGTAACAGGTTCACACTGCTCACCCCCTTTGGTGCTCCTACTTTTATTGCTCCCCTCCCCACCCCCAGTTGGCAACTGGACTCTGACAGTTGTGCAAAAATTAACATAGAGCAGCCTTGCCTTATCAGTTTCCCTGCATATTACCTACTCCATGTTGCTTCTTCTACAGCAGAGAAACACAAGAAAATTGACCAGAAAAGATTACAAATATGGAATTGTTATTAAAGCGCACTTGCCCATTCACAAGGACCAAAAAAACCCTAAGTTTTTTTGAACACATTTGCACAATTCCCAGGGATCGAAAATACATTGATAGTCATTCTCAAGTGCCACTGGAGCATCAGTGGAGAGGCTGTCGCTGGCAGCAACAAGGACAAGAGTGCAGAGGAGGAAGGCTGTAGCGCCTGCTAGCTGTTCCCACAACCCGTGGTAAAGTTGCTCTCCCACTAGATGACACAAGAGCCTCTGTAGATGGAATAACCCCCAGAACAAAGTCATTGGGGTGACTTGTTGCTGAAAAGGAAGTCACCCTGTGGGAAGCAGTCTGGCTTTGGTCGGCACAGCATGGGCTTATGCTGCAGTAAGAGTGTTAGTCTTCAAGGTGCCACAAGATTATATGTTGTAGTTGCTGCCACTGACTACCATGGCTGCTACTCTGGCCACTGAGGGGAGGTGGGCTCGCAAAAGAGTTTGCAGAAAACTGCCCTCTTTTTAAGTCTGAGGATTGTTTTAGTTATTCAAAGAGTCATTTCCTACATCTCAGCCCGACTGGCCTCCATGGCAGCTGACAGTAAGTGAAACTGATCAGTGCAGCAGCATCTTTCTAAAGATTTGAACAGCGTTATTCAGTACTTGTTTTCCCTAAGCTGACACTAGATGGTACTCTATCCAGGGCAGAACTTAAACGGTAAAACAGAGCGTATTTAGTAAATGATGACTTTCCCATTAGCACTGTATAAATTGATCATATGAGCATGTCCATGTGCAGAAATATGTCAGATATGACAATCTGAGGAAACAGACTAAACACAAGGTTCTCACTGAAGCCATGACCAAGCTGGAAAAGTGGCATGGGTCTGAATCGGCACAGGGCACCCTCTGGCCCAGCCTGGCCTGAAGATGCTTCAGCCTGCCCTGTCCCCTCTGGGCAAGGCTCGTTAAGCAGAATGTTTGATCCGAGAAATGCTGTGAAGGCCTGTGCGCCACTTCTAGCCCACCAGCTTGGTCCAGGGAGTGATGCAGCCCCTGGGCAAAAGTGGTTGCCTCCCCCCATTCTAAACTGATCAGTCTAAATCCATGGTCCTCAGACTGTTTGTTTATTTTTGCCATTTGTATGCCACCTCCTTTTTCAGGCCACCACCTTCTTTCCTCTTGTGCAACAACTCCAGGACCCCACATGCCATAGCACCTCTTTCTTTATATTAGGTCTATTGCTCTACTGCAAATTTAAAGCGACCAATCACTGCTCCCCCTTCCAGATCTTTCCACCACCCCCAGGGGGGTAGTACTGCCCACTTTGGGAATCGCTGGTCTAACTTATCAGAGTGAAAAAGAGAGATTCCCAGGGGTGCAGGACTCTCATGATTGGCACTGCAATGCCAGGACTGATTAGGTTGCCGATCCTGCTGGAGCCCACTGTACAAGAGCTGCCTGTAAACACTGAAGAGCTCTCTAGCCACCATCCATGCTTGCTTAAATTCCCCTGTTCTAAAATGTAAAACAAGCAAAAGTGCTCTTCATTTATCTTGCGTCAAATGACATTTGGATGTGATTGTGCATTCAGTGAAAAAAGGTGTGGGTAATTTTGCTTATATATAAGGATAAATTTTCTTCCCGCCACATAAACTTCTCTGCTGTGCCTTCCCTCTCCCTGCCCTGCACCAGTGCTAAACCTAGATGGCTGAAAATAGAGGCTTATGTGCAACAAGGGTGTGGGGCATCGGACTGTACTCTAAATGTCCTCAGAAAACATGAGTTACTGGGAAGGTTAGGAAATGTTCCCCAAGAAAGGGGCCCAGAGAAAAGGCTGGGTTCCTGGCTGTGTTGTGCACCAATTTGGCTGGATTGGGATATCCCTGGGCTGGAGCTCACAGAATTGCTCCAGGAGGGCCACACTGGTGCCCTTGCCAGTGCCAGTCAGACCCACCGTGCCATCACCTCTGCAGGGCAAAGCTCCAAGGAGACGTCCTCAGAAGTAGAAGGGGCAGCATCAGCACCAGCACTGCAGTGGCAGAGAGTGCGACCCTGCACTGTGCCCCTTCCTGTCACCACCACATTGCACCCCCTTTTCCCACTCTGCCCTCTCTGTAGGTCAGCATGCAGAGAGCCATGTGCCCGGAAGCAGTAGTCACGGGGCCCTTCCGAAGCCCTTCCAGACCTCATGGGAGCCAGAAAGCACTTGCAGGACTCCTGCAGCTGCTGCTTACAGGTATGTGAGGGGATGTCACATGGAGATGGGTAGAGACCAGTTCTCCCCTGCAGAGGAGGGCAGGAAGCATTCCAATGGAGCAAAGCTCAGGGAGCCAAGGTTCCATTTGGATGCCAGGAAGCACTTCCTGACAGTCAGGACCCCGAGGGTGTGGAATGGGCTTCCACAGGAGGTGGTGGAGGCCCCATTGGTGCAGGTGTTCAAGAATAGGCTGGACGTCCACATGGTGGGCATGTCGTGAGCGGAGCCGGCTGGTGCCGGAGGTCAGACTAGATGGCCCGGGAGACCCCTTCTGACTCGCTCTGTTTCTGTGTTTCTATGCTTCCAGCCATGAATTACAAGGCCACCTGCTCACTGCAGTAAATGGCATGAGGGGGCAGGAGGAGGGCTGCAATTCACACAACCTGATGTGGGTGCCTTACCTTGCTTTATGCAGGAGCAACCTGAGGAAGGAGATGTGAGAGGAAGACTTCTGGAGACTTTCTGTATAATCTGATGTCTCCTGATGAAAATGCATACCTTTTCTGCAGAACATGCAAGATGAGGTACATCAGCTCCCACTATCAGGGCTGGCCA